CCAAACTTAAACACAATAGCAGCACCCATGTGATTAACAAAAGTAATTAACAAATGAATGCAGGTGGGAAAAAAAAAAAACATTTTAGTGGCTGAGAGCGAGTAACCATTTCTGATGGCTACAGTAAACACAGAGGACGAGGGACATCGAGTAACTCCGAACATCGTTGCACAGCTCAGAACAGAAGTTACATATCTACAAAGACACAAGAGGCACCAAAAGCTGTTGATTTAAGCCCCAGGTGTGGCGCTTACTGCAGTTTGAATTGATGTAGGTGGAGGGAACTGGGTGGTAGTCCCCAAACAGAGGCCACAAAAGATCCACCACAAAATAAGGCACCCAGACCCCAGGGGCTGTAGCAGTGCAATGCTTGTACTGCAAGATTAATTTAAATAAATTTGAACATGTAAAAATTGGTGCATTGTCTGGTAATAACAATCTGCTATTGCCTCAGAGACCACGGGTAGCTAGTTTAGTATCTGCATACCATTTAATGAGCACTGACTGCCATAACATTTGTTTCATTTTTACACAATACTGACAATATTTGACACAGTTATACCTCAATGTTCACTGTGTCATTATGGGAATAAACAAATGTGTGTATGTAAACTGATGGATAAGTGGATAGGCTATGCAATTTATTTTATTCTCAATTAATTTTCAGTCAATTTTGCAAATAAACTCCACAAAGACAATGTATTATATTTATTAAATCCATCTTCACCTTTTTTAACCACAACAGCAAAGCACTGTTTTGTTCTGCTGCAGGGCAATGCTGCCACCCAGTGAGCAAAGGGTGAAAACACATGAAAAACAATGTGTGCGTATATATATAAATCAGTGTAAATTTATTTGTGGAAAAATTAGTTAGGGTGTACAATCTAAGGTAAGCACTAAAAAAACAAAACAAAAAAACAACAACTTTTCACCAAGTTTGAAGAATGACATTCTAATTACAGACAACGGAGAATTTATTGATGTACTAGTTTTATGTTTTTGTTTTTTTTTTTTTAGTTCAGGCTATAAGAGAGAAGACTTCTCTGATGGACTCCTCAAAAAAAATAGCAATATTTGATGTACTGACTTTCAATAAAGTAAAATAAGCTGTTTGAAATGACAATGCATTCAAGTCTCCACAATCTCACACGACAAGCTGCATTCGAGTATTATAAGACAGTACAGTGCTGTCTTGTAATAAAATGTTTCTAAGAAAATATTTGCAAATGAAATCACGTCAACATGGTGATTCTGTCGCTGTGATCTGCAACGATAATGCAAAACAACAAACTGAGTCTTTGCTGTATATTTGTGTATGCAAGTATGCTGACAGCAGCTACACCAGCTTTGCTACCAAGTCTGTACGGTAATGAAGAGCGTAACAACAAAGTGCTTCTGACAATTCAATTCAACCATTATTTTTGTGTTGTTGAACGACTCCCATGTCATCGTGGGAATACCCAGCAACTACGGGGGGATCTTGAGACTCTCCAGGGAAGATGTCAGAATGCTTCAACTGAGGCTTCTTCCTCCATTGCCACAGTGGATCTGGTTGTCTGTGTCCTGCAGTTTTTGTAACCTTCCAAAATGGATACTCCAAAAAAAAATAGCCAGGATCTTGATTTCTCCCCCAAGCTCTCTTCCTTCTCATACTTCTGCTGCTTTTCTTGTGCATTAACAAGTATAACACTGTGAATGTCGTTGAGGAAAGATCATCCGGGTTGTAGTTGATGCACCGAACAAACTCTGAGGAACACACCAA